TCATCCTAGGCCATCATCCTAGGCCATCATCCTAAACCATCATCCTAGGCCATCATCCTTTACTTATTTAGGCTGGCCCCACTGTAGCCCTAGCTACTCTGGAACTCAGGAGAGGCTGGCTTCAACTCACAGCAGCCTGCCAGCCATCCTCTCGAAGCCGGGATTAAAGGTGGCCACTAGGCAGCTGAATTGTACAGTTTCTTCTTTTAACTAAAAATCACTGGGCTGGGTGCTAGTGGCACGCGTGTGATCCCAACACGGGGGGGGGGGGCAAAGGCAGGCGGAGCTTCAAGGGTTCCGTCCGGGCCAGCCTGGTCTACGAAGCAAGCCCAGGACAGCTGGGGCTACAGAGAGAAACCTGTCTCGATAAAAGAAAAAAGAAAAGGCGACCATGACTGTGTCCATCCGTCCTAATCATTCAACCGTTCCATTCTGCTTCAGAACCCCATGAGGCACTGCCCGGTTCTGCCAGGGAGACAACTAAAGCCCATGTCTGTCATAAATCACAGACGCAGCTCTCAGCACAGGAGTGGGAATTGTTCCTAAATCTCCCCAGATTTTCTGAATGTAGAAAAATAAAATCTAGCCATTGTGTGTGTTGGGGGAGGGGTGGTTTCTTGTTTGAGACACACCTAAGCCGAGGTCGGCCTTAGCTCAGATGAGGAGGTACTCAGGGTGCCCTCCTGGGTTTGCCTTTCAAACCCTGGGGTTCCAGGGCCAGGCCAGCACTCGGGCTTGTATTTGCACAGAGCTGCCTTCCCCTCCCTGGCTCACAGGCTTCTGCCCACACCCCGCTTGTAACTTCCCAGGACGCAGTCCAAGGGACACCACACAGCATTTCTCTCTGTACAGTTTTTAATTTTTTATTTTTTGATGGTTGTTGTTCAGATGAATGACACAAGTTACAAAAATGGGGCCTTAAAAGAAGCACATTGTACAATGAACAAGCAGATTGAAGGTAAAAACACGGAAACGCTAACCCGCTACCACAAGAAGAGACAGGGAAGGATGGGGACGGGAAGGGAGGAAGGGGCTGCCAACACGGGACAACCAAAAGGGGTGCTACCTCCAGGGCCCGGAGGAAGGGCAGGCCACTCGGCCGTTCCGGCCCACTACTTACCATGGCCCCCACGCCCATCCCCTCCACCTGGGCATTCAAGCGAGGTGAGGGACGGCCATACCAAATGGTGGAGCCTGTCCATCTCTACACGGTAGGTGGGCACCCTGCCCACGTGCTCTGGCTTCTGGAGGTGATGGCGACGTGATAGCAGGAGCCAGGGGAGCCGATCCCAAGACCAGACCCCTAAGATGGCCACCCTCCCCCTCCCCGTCCGGCTGTGATCCAAAGGCCCTCCCTCCCGGAGAAGCCACTGTCACCCTGCAATTACATAAATAAATAAATACGGAGCCCCGGGCTGGGGGACGGGTGGGGAGGGCAGCAGGGCTGGAGGAAGGGGAGCGGAGGAAGGGGTCACAGACAAGGTAAGTAGTCTCCGTCCCAGCAACACTTCTGGATTCGTTTTTCTCTGCTCCTTTTGTCTGTTTAGGAAGGAGCTAACACCAAGGACAAATACTTAAAAATATACATTATTCTTTTTTTCCGCCTTTGTCATCATCGTCTTGCTTTGGAGACTGCTGAGGTCAAAGTTTAAACCGCACAAAAGAACCGCGGTTTGAAGTTTTTGTGGGTTTTTTTTTTTTCTGTTTTATTTTTTTTTTTTATTTTTTTTTAAAGTTTTTATTCTAATTTTTTTTTTTTCACTTTTTTTCCCAACGTATAAAAAGGTAGCGGAGTTGTCTGTGGTTTTTTTTTTTTTTTTAATGGTTAAATCTTTGGTTTGTTTCTTTTTTTCTCTTGGAGGCCTTTATCTCTCGCACTTGCCTTTCTGTCCCACTAAGAGCAGTGGGGCCCGCGTGCCTCAGTCTTGCTCATTTCTCTCACTCAGCTCTTCCTACCCTGGGCGACAGGGAGAGAGAAGTGCCCCGGGGGTGGCCTGGATGAGAGGAACTAGTCAGGTCAAGAGGTCACCCCCTGCTGACTAGTTCCTGGCTGGAGCGCCCCCAGGGTGAGGGGCAGAAGACGAGCTTGGTCTTCCGAGAGGATGTTAAACCCCTCCTGTCTTAGATCCAACCTGAACAGGAGCCCCACACCTCACCCCCCCTCAGCATACATGCAGCCCCTCCCACGCCTAGTCCCTGCCCCGGCCCCCAGAAGGGTACAGAGAGGTGGTTTAGGTACTGGCATTATTTATTTTTGGCACAAAAGGCCCACCATTGGGGCAGAGCAGCCTCTGTTCCTGCCTTCAGCATGGGGTCAGGGCCGGGAGAAGGGGAATTCAAAGCTGTTCTCGGTCCAGGCCACTCATCCAGGCCGCTGGTCCACGCCTGACATCTAAGCTGGGGCAAGCCTGGCCCAGGGTCCCCCTCCCAGTTCCCACGTAAAGCTCCCTAGCCGCCAACTCTCACTCACACAGACACACGGACACAGGCTCTGCACAGACCACAAAATAAAAATGATGAGATAGTTTTGTTTCCCGGAGTCGAGACTGGGGGGCTGGAGTGGAAGGGGCAGGGGGTGGGAGGGACAGGAGTCCCCACCTTCCCATCCCTGGCCCTCCGGCCCTCAGCCCTCACCCTGGCTGGCCCCCAGCCAACGATATTTGGTATTTTTTTTTTAACATTAAAGTTCTATGAGGTATTTGGTGCCTTATCTCGAGTCCTTGGGGGAGAAGGGCCCAGGGAGGGGGAGACCTGGGGCTCCCTGCCCCTCCCTCTCTCCCACCCCTTCCCCCTTCCCAATATTTGGTTTCACAGCTGTAGTTAAAGCTTGGGATTTGGTTATTTTTCCCCTCCTAGGAATTTCCTTTTTTCCTTGTTTTTCATTTCCCAGTGTGGGGGTCGGATGGGGAGGGTCCCCACCACCAGGGCGTCCGCCCTGCCGCTGCCCCTGCCTCCTCTCTGCCCCCTCCTCACTAGGGCAGGACTTGAGGAGGAGAAAGCAGGATGAATTGGGTGGTGAGTCCTGGATTTTTTCTTTTCTTTTTTTGGTCTAGAATCATAGTTTATGTCTGAGTCATCTCCACCATGCCTTCCATGCTTGCCTGTCTTCTCAGAGGGTTCTTGTTTTTCTGGTTGTGATTCCTTCGTTCTGCTCTGTTCAAACGTCTTCCTATCACGGTCAGGGGCCCTCAGGCCCTCTCCGCCCTTGGTTTGGGTCCAGGGCCTCTTGTTAGCCGCTTTTCAGGAAATTAAAATGGACAAACTCAGAGGTAGGGTGAGGGCAGGGGTTGGTTCAGCGGAGACACATTCCAGCGAGGTTGGCTAGGGGCCTGGGTGCCCGGGTGGGAGAGGCAGCCACTCCACCACGCTGGGCAAGACACCCAAGGCCCTGCACTGGTCTAGAGTTGCTGCCTCCTGTGACCCAGGCCGACAGTTTTGGTCCAGGTGAGACAAGGAGACCAGAAGAAAAGAGAACGCTGAGACCTGGGAGCTCTGCTGCCTCTCCTCTGAGTGTCCAGGACAGAAGGGGGCCCAGGCCAGGACCCAGCTCTCCCCTTCCTCTGCTCCTGCCCATCTAGGGGCAGGGGTCACTCTGATTTCAATGGCTCGCGTCCTTTACAGCAACACTTTGGTTTGAGGAGAGATACAGAAAGGAGATCAAGAGTTGTGATAGAAGAAAAAAAGGGGGGGGGGGGGGAGGAAAAGAGAGAAACAGAGAGAGAGAGACAGAGAGAACAGATAAAAATCAAAGAGGGAATCAAACCATCCAACAGTTGGTTTTCCTTTGTCCATTCTTTTTGCTTTCCTTTTTTTTTTTTTTTTTTTTTCTTTTAAAGCTTTCTCAGTTGATTGGTGGGGAGGGAGCTTGGGGCTCTCACCCGCGTCCCTGACACCCTCTCTCAGCCCCACCCACCCGCTTCCATCCACCCTGGCTGAGGGACAGGCCCTGCCCCAGCTGCACCCCCCTCCGGCTTTCCGAAGACGACGTCCATGAGGTATTTGTGAAGAGAAAGAAGTTTCCACCATTCCGTCCGCCTCGGCGACCAAAGGCCTGGACCGCTCTGCAGGGCCTGGCTCCAGCTGCGGCTGCTTCTCGTCTAGAAGAGTCCTCGTCTTCTTTCCCGTATATATATCTCTCTATATATATCTATAAATTCTTTTTTCTAGTTTAATTTATTGTTTGTTTGGTTTTCTGTTTTTGTTTTTTTGTGGGGTTTTTTTTGTTTTTTTGTTTTTGTTTTTTTGTTTTGGTTCAAAACTTTGTTGGCCTCCGTGATAGCGGGACGGCAAGGTGGCCCCCGCAGCATCTCCTCTGTCCACTTTGAGATGTGTCCAGGGCCAATACAGGGTCCCGCCAAGACTCCTGGGAGCGGTGGCTGCCATGGTGCCCGCTTACATGGGCAACCACAGGCCATGGCAAAGTCACCACTGTGTGGACCCTGAGGGAGATGCCATCTGGAGGAGCCGACCACTGGGTGTGTGCACTGAAGGGTGGGGAGGGAGAGGCATCTGCCAGCGTCAGAGGGCGCAGGGCGGGCGGACAGAGGCGAGTTAATCTTTTTGGTTTCTGGTTAATGTTAGAGGGCGTGAAGATCCCACGGATAGGCACTGGAATATGATTTTCTTTTCAGGGAAACTGACAGACAGGATGGAAAGAGAGACAACTTGGATGCCCTCCCTTCACCCCCCTCTGCTTGAAGCGACCACCTTCCCATAGCCTGGGGAGGAGACACACTCCAGAGCATCAAAAGGGGGGTGGGGTGGGGAGGGCCTTTTGGGAGCTGGAACTTGGCAAAAATGGCCCAGCCCACCCTTCAAGGGAAAGGGGAGGAACAGGGAACAAAAAAAAGCCTGTTCCCAGGCCTTCCTCTGAACTCTCCCCAGGCCAGGGGTAGGGTGGGTTAAAGCGAGACCCCTGCCCTGTCAGGGAGAGCTGGGGGCAGGGGATCGGGGACACATGGAAGGGACACACATTCTGTTGAGCGCAACGCTAAAAATTCTGTACATCCTTTGGATGAAGCTACTGAATATTTGGTGTAAGGTTGTTCCGGTCCTTTCCCTCTTTACCTTCTGGAAAAGACCATTTGGCAGGTGGCTCCTGCCCCAGGCAATGCCCTGTCTCCGCTGGCCCAGGGCTGAGGCTGGGCCAGCAGGCTGGCACATTCTCTGGTCCGTTCTCTGCCCACCCCCAGTGGGGTGGGATTAGGAGTTGGCCCCACAGCCAGGGAGGGCTCCTCGGCATGAGGTCCGACCTGCCGGAGGCTGCTCCGCTCCTGGCTGAGGGTTCTTATTTGGTGTCATAGCAGTGAGCACTCCAAGATCTGGCTCGAGACTGGTTTTTGGTTTGTTTGACTTGAGGGTGGGGTTGGCTTGGGGGTGTTTGGTTTTTGTTCACTTGTTTTTCATCTGTGGTTCCTTTAGGGAAGCTGGTTTCTATTGTGAATATTTTTGGTTTCCTTTTGTGTTGGTTGGTTTCTTTCTTTTTTTCTTTTTGGTTGGATTTTTGGTCTTCCTCCTTTGTCACTCCTGCTCCGAAGATCCACTGTGTCTCCCACCAGCCTCCTCGCCCGCTTGTGGGCTGGAGAACAAGGTGGGGTGGGGTCGTCAGCGGAGTGGGAGGGGAGGCCTGGTGGGTTCTCACTCAGCCTTGGACCCTGCCTCGGGCCCTCCCGGGCCTCCAGGGGTCTGTGCTGCCACTTCACTGCAAGTGGAGGACGCCGAGGATGAAGAGGACGAGGACAGGCCAGGAGACTTGCTGGAGATGGAGGCTGCCACGGCCGCGGCTGCTGCCGAGACCAGGCCCACGCCTGGTGGGGCGCTGAGCAGGGGCAGCCCGGCGTGGTTCAGGAAGAGAGGCGAGGTCACCAGGCCAGGGCTCCCTGGGGCCGCACCGGCCGCCCCCAGCACCAGGTTCCCGCTGCTGTCAAGGCTGGTAAGGGGCAGTGTTCCACCAGAGGCCAGGGCTGGCGGGGAGAGAGAGAGGCTGAGCTGGAGGCACATGGGGCCAGGGAGCCCTTCGCCTCCTCGGTGGCCTGCCTGAGCCCCATCCCCATCTGCCCCACTGACCCCCATGAATCAGCACCCCTCACACCTTCCCCAAAGACGGACGGGGATGAAGAGGCAAGCAATGCAGTGAGCAGGGTGAATGGCATGGCTGGGGCTGCGATGAAAGGGCTCGAGGCCCAGGAGAGGGCGGGATTGAGGGCAATGGGGTGACTTGAGGCAGCACGCACCTTGGATGGTGGCCAAAGGGTTGTTGCTCATGAGGGCTGGACTCAGCCCCGAGCTCAACCCCACAATTGTGCTTCTGCAAGAGCAAAGCAGAGGCATTAGCGAGGACAGGAGCCCACAGAAGAGCGAGGCGCAGCTCCCCACCCTGAAGGCCGTTGCACTTACCCGGTGCTGGGGCTCAGGCCTGACAAGCCCAGAGCCGAGTGGCCGCCTTGAGGGCTCGGGTTTGTGCTGTTGGTGGTGGCCGGGGGTGGGGGGGTGACAGAGGGGATGGAGTTGAGAGGGGGCGCAGTTCCGCCCCCGCCCCCACCCCCTCCTGCTGTCCGGCTGGGGTGGAGCGTCCCCACAGCTGAGGATAAGGTAGTAACTGCCAAAGAGAGACAAAGGAGGGTCCTGAGCTCCCTCTGGCCCAGCCCGAGTCTCCGCTTCAAGCGGAAAAACCCACCGTCTTACCCTCCCCAGATCCCGACGTCCCCGTGTCATGGCAGCAGTCACCGGCTGCTGCAAACCACTTTGACGTGGACAAGAAATAGACTGCCCAGGAGACACGGGCCTGTGGCTCTCCCCGGAGGCTGCAGTGGGCTCCATCTGCGCTGCTGGGAGCTCACGCGTGGGCAACCCGAGGCCACTGACGGCCACTGAGGGCCACGACACTCGCCAGGGGGCACTGAGGGCCACTGAGGGCCACGATGATCACGCGTGGGCAACCCGAGGCCATGGACGGCCACTGAGAGCCACGACACTTGCCAGGGGGCACTGAGGGCCATAACACTCACGGGTGGGCAATCCGAGGCCACGAACGGCCACGACACTCACGAGCGAGGAGCCCGAGGCCACAGATGGCCACGATGCTCTGGCTAGACCAGCTCCCAGCCTAGTTTCAGCTGTGTCCTATGGTGACCCTCTCTGACCTTCATGGAAGATGGGACCACGCTCATGAGCTGAGTGTGAGGATTACGTCAGTCCATTTGGCTTAGAAAGAACTGGACCAGCGGTGGCAGCTCCTTCTCACTAACTTATTATTTCTCAACCTGAGAGGAGCAATATGGTGTTTATTTTGTGTTAGTATTTTTTTTTTTACACGCACCTGTAATCCCAGCACTCTGGGAGGCAGAGGCAGGCAGATCTCTATGAGTTCCAGGCCAGCCTGGTCTGCAAAGTGAATCCAGGACAGCCAGGGCCACACAGAGAAACTCTGTCTTCAAAAACAACTTTTTTTTTTTTTTTTTTTTAAACAGGCTGGAGAGGTGGCTCAGCAGTGAAGAGGACCTGGGTTTGGTCTCAGCGCCCACATGGCAGCTCACAACTGTTAACCACTCCAGTCCCTGGGGATCCAGTCCCTCTTCTGGCGCCTACTGGGCACTGCACCCTCATGATGCACAGAACAAATAAATAAATGAATGAACTGTTTAAAGAAATGACGAGGCTGCAGATGGGCCCCGGAGCAGGCTCCGTCGCAGGGTGGTCCCTTCTAGAGCATGCACAGATCTTGTGAACAAATTGTACACTCAAGAAACAACCTCCTGGACTCACAGGGCATATCCAGGACAGAGGCCAGGGACAATGAGGTGGGCACAGCAACCCGCAGGCATCCGTGGACAAAGCCAGGGGCTGCCCTCCGCCCTGAGGTCCCGGCTGCCAGCGCCAGCACTGGGCCTCAGGCAGTGGCCGAGCCCTCCCCCCTCCCTCTCAGCCTGCCCCTCACCTGTTGTGCTCAGACTGCTAGAAGCTTGGGACAGTGGTAAGGTCCCTGGGGGCCCTTGGGGTGTGACCTGGGAAGAGAAGGAAGAACATCAGCCTCCAACGGTGCTCCCTGCGTGGGACATGGTACAGGCGCACCGTCCTCCCCCCAGTACCCCCTCTCCTCTGACACTCTCCCGTCCGCCTGAGGTCCCTGCAGAGCTTCAACCCATCTGCAGTGACCATCTGAAGGCCGGCTCTGTTGGCTCCTAGAAGGGACACACCTGTCTTTGTAAGAGCAAGCCTGGGTTACAAAGGAAGTTTGAGCCAGCCTGGGCTACCTGCCGTGTAATCCTCTCTTTAAAAAAAGGAGGATCAGGAGTCCAGAGCCTCTCCCACAAAACAGAAAAAACACAGCACTGCCACCCCCATGAAAACAGCGACAGAGCAGCCAGGAGGACTCTGCCCCCCCTCCCCACTCCCAAGCCCGTTCCCAGCAGCTCCCCCACATGGCGCTGTGCCCCAGCACATGTTGGCATCTAAGCCTCTGTGCGTGCTGGAACCGGTGGGCTGTGTCCTCGGGTGGCCCTCCGTGTGGCCGGCCGGCCCTGGTCCTCCTTCCTCCCGGCCCTGGAGCTGAGGGCCTTCTCTCTGTATGTCACAAACACGAATAAAGGGACACAACAGAGGACATTGCGGACGTGTCCAATATCGAAGAGGACCCGTGTGTGGTTGTGGGCACCTCACACACTAATGATGGCCCTGCCTGCCCCGGCAGCGTGTGTGCTCCGACCTGGGCCATGCTGGACCCCTCCTCCACGGTAGCGTCCCGTCCCCATGACAACTCTGTCTAGCCACGTCAGTGTATCTGTGGGAGTTTGTGCCCACCACAGAACACAAGAGTTTGGGGCCTGGAGAGGGTTTGCTGCCAAGGCTGGCGGCCTGAATTTGATTCCTGGAACCTACATGAACCTACATGGTGCGGGAGAGACGTGACTCGCAAAGGTTGCCTTCTGACCTCGGGTGGGGCGGCTTGTCTTCCTGAAAACCGTGTCCCCTTGTGGCTGCTGTGTGCCACACTCTCCCCTGAACCTCTGGGGACAAGCCCCCTGGTCTCTAGGTTCCCTGCTTCACAGAGATGCCTCCAGGCTTGTGCCCGCCCCGCCCCCGCCCCGGGTACCAGGTGAGGGCTGTAGCTGGCCGGCTTCCCGGGGCTGGGCAGCATGGGCGGCGCGCTGCAGGGGTTGATGCGCTTCTCCTTCTGGCGCCGGTTGCAGAACCACACGCGAATCACTTCCTTCTCCATGTGCAGCTGCTCGGCGATCAGCAGGATCTCCTCTGAGGTAGGCTTCTGGTTCTGCGGGCGGAGGGGCGGGAGGGCGGTGAGCGCGCGCCCTCCGGCCACGCCCGCTCCGGCCGCCAGGGGGCGCGGCTCACCGCTAGGAAACTCTTCTCTAAGGCGAAACGGACGTTGGTCTCGATGCTGGTCCTCTTCTTGCGTCTCCGGCCCGGCAGCCCGTCGAACCCCAGGCTGGGGCTGCTCAGCTGGTTCGGGCTGGGTAGGCTTGAGTCCACGGACATAGTCTCTGCGGAGGCGGGAGGCGAGGCGGTGAGCGACCGCTTCCCGCCCGGCCCGCGCCCCGCGCCCCGCGCCGCGCGCCCCGCGGAGGCCCCGCCCGCTCACCGGCGTCGTTGAGCCACTTCTCCAGCAGGGGCTTCAGTTTGCACATGTTCTTGAAGCTCAGGTTGAGGGCCTCGAAGCGGGAGATGGTGGTCTGGCTGAAGTCATTGCCGTAGAGCTTGCCCATGGCCAGGCCCACGTCACCCTGGTCCGGGTTGGAGGGGAGGGGCTGGAGGTCAGGGCGGGGCTCCTGACCCAAGCCACGCCCACCCGCCGCCCCCACCGCGGCCGCAGACCTGCGTGAAGCCCAGCTTGATGCGGCGTTGCTTGAAGGTGCGCGCGAACTGCTCCAGCTCCTCCAGGTCGCTGGGCTCCTCCGGGTGGGATGGCGGCTCCAAGCATTTTGGGGGCTGCGGGTGTGAGAGGCGCGGGTCGGACAGCGTGGGGCGAGGCACAGCCTGGTGGGGTGGGCAGGCACGTGGGACGCAGGATGGGGCCAGGCGTGGGTCCTGCTAACTGCTCCACTCTGCTGCCGGCCCTGCTGCGCTCAGAGCCCGGCACCTCTCCTCAGAGACCCGACTCCCATAGGGAGCAGCCAGTGTCTTCTTGATGGCTCAATGGGCTCAAAGCCTAGAGTGGACGGGGCTGGGCGAGGGGACGGGCTGCCCGGTGGGCCCAGCCTGAGTCCTAAGCCAACGTTTCCTTCCTTAGAAGAGAAACCCTCGCTGCGCCTCTGCCTGTACCCTGGATCTTTCGGAAGTTACGATTACTAACAAGCCCATAGGTAGAGTGAAGCCTGATTCCGTCCACAGGTGTGGCGACAGCGTGCAGAAGCCTGGGCTGCAGGTGGCTGCTCTGCAGGTTAAGGGTGCTGAAAACGGGAGGTAGGGCGTGTGGTGGGCGGGAGGCATGTGGGATCTGTCTTGAGCTCAGGTGTTCCGCACATTTAAAACTGCTCTAAAAACCCCTAAAGACCCCATAGCAAACATACAGTTGCTCTGGAGAACAAGGCAGGATTCTGCTTTCAATGCCAGCGTGGGCCGCAGAGTGAATGTCAGCCTGACCACCTTAGAAAAACCACCTCAAAATATGGTGTGAAGAGAGGGATGGTTCAGTGGGATGACCCCTGCGAAGAATGCCCCAATGAGGGGCTGGGGTGTGGCTCAGTGGTGGAGCCCCTGCCTAGAGTTCCCCAGTGAGGGGCTGGAGTGTGGCTCAGGGGTAGAGCCCCTGCCTAGAATCCCCCAGTGAGGGGCTGGGGTGTGGCTCAGTGGTAGAGCCCCTGCCTAGAGTCCCCCAGTGAGGGGCTGGGGTGTGGCTCTGTGGTGGAGCCCCTGCCTAGATACTCAAAATCCTGTGCTGACTGAAACATAAATAAAATAAAACGAAGTCTTAAAAGCAGTGGCTTTCTAACAGAAAACACATACAGAAATGACTAGAAATGACAGCTAAGGTGGTGAACAGGAAGCAGCCCCTCTCCTGGGATAAAAGACTGGAAGCAGGCGGGTGAGTCTGGGGCGTCTGTCATGGACCTTTGACGGTCTAAGGTTCTGGGTGGGTGTGTTCGGGAGGTCATGAGGGCGTGAGGCCCCTGTGGGTTCAGGGCATCACCGTGTAGTCGGGCATGCCAAGTTTGGTCTCGGCAGGACTCCTCCCCGGAAGGAAGCCAGCTCTGCAGCCAGGTGAGTTCAGGGCCTTAGCCAAGACCTGCGAGGGTCCGGGGACCTTCCGTGTTTCTGACAGCGTTCACGTGTGCGTGTGTGCGTGTGCACACATGTGCTGGTCCATGTGGACGGCTGAAGTCAACATCAGCTGGGCACCTTTCCTCAGCTGCTTGCTACTTTGTTTTTTTTTTTTTGTTTTTTTTTTTTTTTGGTTTTTTTGAGACAGGGTTCCTCTGTGTAGCCCTGGCTGTCCTGGACTCGCTGTGTAGACCAGGCTGGCCTTGAACACGCAGAGACATGCTGCTGGGATTAAAGGCATGTGCTACCACGCCCAGTTGCTTGCTTCTCGGGCTTCTCAGAGACCCTGAACTGTGGACTTGGCTAGCTGGCCGGCCGAGGTCCCACCACTCGGCCGCCTCCATGCCCAGGGATGAGCTTAGCTTGCCACACTCAGCTTTTAACCTGGCTTCTGAGGATTCCTAGGGCCCAGGGCCTTGTGTTATACGGCCTGCCCTTTACCCACTGAGCCATCTCCCTGGCCTCTGGGCTCACCAGCTCTTCAGATTTTCAAAGGTGTCCATGTTCAGAAAGCCTTTGGGACCCTCAGTCTGGTCTGACTTGCGATCCAGGAAGGAGGGAGCTGAGGCAGACGGGAGCCTAGCTTACCTGAGTTCCTGCTGCCAGCTGGTGGCAGAGTAGGGCTCCCACGGTCCCCCCTTCCCCATCCCCTCAGCCCTAGCTGCGCCAGGGCACCATCAAGCGGTGCACAGCCTCACCTGTGTGGGGAGCCCCCCCCGGGGCTGGGGGGTCAGGATTGCTCCCTGGGTTTGCTGAGGTAGCTGGAATAGATTTGGCGTCGGGAGCAGGCCTGGGGGACGAGAACACACAGGTGAGTGGGGGGGGACAGGCCTGGGGGGCGAGAACACACAGGTGAGTGGGGGGGACAGGCCTGGGGGG